ATTACAACAGGACAACTTTTAATTTGATAATTTTGTATGGTCAGTGATTGTTGTTACAAATATCCAAATGGCCCTTGGCAGAGAAAAGGTCCCCCACCACTGCTCAGTGATCTAAACCATATGCAAACCAACAAACAAATATGACTGTGCAACTTGCAGCCATATTCACATTCCATGGAAACATTCCATCAAAACCTTTTCAAAAAATACCATCATTGGAGGCAAGCATTTGATCAACAAGTTTTAACGCTCGTTATATTGTACATGGGCTTGAATTAACTGTAAGGTGCTTAAATATTGTTTAGACACACTCAGGAAAACTTGAGGTGAGACTCATGCTGATAGAAATGTCCAATATCGATGGTGGAAATTATGCAAAAAATATGACAAAAGAGGTAGCTTCAGCTTCAGACACACTACTTGCATCTATGGAGACTTTCAATACGTGGTTCAATAAATAATTGAAGATTAATTTTTTAAATAAGGAAATCTGAGGTATCTACTACCCAACACACATTCTTCCAAAGTTTGTCTCTGGCTTAATGCAGTGGGTTATAGACACCCTGGGAGCCAACAGAAAATTAAGAGGAAAAGAACAGCTGATATCCAACGTTCTAATTCTGTTTTGAGCAGGTGTCAGAGTATTAATCACCTTTACATGTTGGAGGGCTAGGGGACCATCCAAAGTGGTAGCACTGAAGAGAGTCTGGTCCAACGAGAGTGAGGAGTCTATTTCTGCAGGAGAATGTCAACACGTCTCCAACGACATATTTCTCTTTCCGGGGCTGAGCAATTAAGTTCTCCTCTATATCGGGAACGATGCATTCTCTTTCTATAAAAAGGGTAAATAATTTAATGAGAACAGATGATTAACCAGTGCCAAGTAAACTTTATATGTCGTGCAAAAATAAGTGGCTGGGTGTTGCATATTCAGAGAGGCATCAAATAAATGTTCTCCCTGGAAGTGCATTATCTATTATGTCTGACACATCCCTCACATTCAGTTGGGACTCTCTGAATAACAATAGATGTGTCCTGAAAACTTATTTGTAATATCAACTCTCTTCTAGTG